GAGCTGCCCAGGATTGGAGCTGTGTGCTGGGGTTCCTGCCCCAGCCCCTAACCCCTGTGTGTTCTGTGTTTGCAGCATGATCGGGCTGATGCTGGGAACCTGCATTGCTTTCTACGTCGTCATCGGTGATTTGGGGTCCAACTTCTTTGCCCGGCTGCTTGGATTTCAGGTGAGTAAATCCTCACTGGGTCACATCAGCGATGCAGACCACGGTCCCAATTCTTGCACTGAGCCGTGTGTGCCTTAAATACACAAAATCCGGTGTGCGTAGCGCGCCCTGCAGCCCACGGGCATTGTGGGGTCGTTTGGTGGTGAGATTTAACGGCACGCCTTGTGCACAGCGCATTTGGCTCTACAAAGCCCTGGAAGCCCAGACATATGGTGAACAACCTCCACTAAGGCACTTCCATCACAGGAATGCTTTTTAACTTCATCCCTGTTAATTCTGGAGCAGATTCCTGGAGGAGGTGATGCTTCTTCCTGTCTTAATTCCTACTCCTACGGGTGGTGACAGACAGTTCCTCCGTCCGAGCTCTCACCCCATGCAGCCCTTGAGTTCCAGAGGGATTTTTTTGTCCTGTCCCTTGCTGTTTGGGTGGCCAAAGTTACAGCCAAATAAGCTGTGTGATGAGCCTGGTGTTGGCCTCATAGGTAGGAGGCTCTTTGCCAGCACAAGGGCCATGCGGGGAAGCAAATGTGGCACATGGAAGGGTTTTGGTGGGGCTGTTATCTGCTCACCCTGATGCTGCTACCCCCAATTAAGGGCCTGTGTCATTAAAAGGATGCATGGTGGCTACAGCCAAATTAGGTATGAAATATTTCCGAGCATTTGGAATTTTTGAAATTTTCAAGACTTCAATCTCTCGTCTCCCAAGTGAGTTTAGTTTTTTTATTTAACCACATGAAAATACCTAAATAGGTTGTGCTGCTTTAGCATTTGAACACCCCCCGACCCCAAAAGGTTCCACTTCAGGGTGGACCCATCACGCGCTGCGTAGAGCAACAGTGGCACCCAGTGACTGTGTGAGTTAATCACAGACCTCGCCAAGGACGTGGCAGGTTTTCCACGTCAGATCTTTTAAATACGCACAGACGCGGAGTTTCATGTTTGAAATCCATCCTGGCTTTGCATTGCTTCTCACTCTGGAAAAACTAAGACCATCGGGGGGCTCCTTTGCTAATCTGGGGGGTGTTTTGGGTGTCCCCCATGCCCCCGGTTCTTTACGCGGGTCCTTGTTGCAGGTGTCGGGCAGTTTCCGGATCGTGCTGCTCTTTGCTGTCTCCCTGTGCATCGTGCTTCCCCTGAGCCTGCAGCGGAACATGATGGCCTCCATCCAGTCGTTCAGCGCCATGGCCCTCATCTTCTACACCGTGTTCATGTTCGTGGTGAGTACCGGCACCAGGATGCCAACGCCATCCCGGGGTGGATGAGAAGGGGTGGTTGTAGGGCAGAGAGGTTCTCCTGCCCCTCTGCTCTGCCCTGCTCACACCACAGCTGCAATCTTGTGTCCAGTGCTGGGCCCTCAGCTCAAGAAGGACAGGAACTGCTTGAAAGAGTCCAACAGGGGCACAAAGATGAGGTGTGGATCCGGCACCCATGGTGAGACAGTGGCCTTGCCATGTTTCCTCACCATACAAGCGCTATCACTGGGAGAAGTGAACACTGTGGAGCATCTCCTGCTGAGGAGCAGCTGAGGGAGCTGGGGCTCTTGAGCTTGGAGCAGAGGAGCCTGAGGGGTGCCCTCATTCCTGGGGATCCATTGGGAAAGGGCAGTGTCAGGAGGAAGGAGCCAGGCTCTGCTCTGGGATGGCCAATGCCAGGACAAGGGGCAATGGTCCCAAGCTGGAGCACAGGAGGCTCAAGCTGAAGATGAGGCCAAAGTTTGTCAGTGTGAGGGTTATGGAGCATGGCCCAGGCTGCCCAGAGAGGTTGTGGAGTCTCCTTGTGTGGAGACACCCAAAGCCCTGGCCGTGTTCCTGTGTGACTGCTCTGGTGATCCTGCTCTGGGGGGGTTGCACTGGGGGAGCTTTGAGGTCCCTTCCAACTCCTCATGTTCTGTGATTCTATGAATGCTGTTTTCCCGTTGTTTTGGGGATGTTCCTGCTGGGACAGTCTGTAGGTGCAAGTCACAAGTTCAAACTGCCCTTGCTGATAATTAATGCTGGGCATAACGAGCTGGGTACGGGCTGCAGAAAGTGGCCAGGGGCTGTGAGCTGTTACAGTGCTGATGTCTGGGGTGGCACAAATGATGATAAACCACAAGTGGAGCTGTGGTTTATTCTGCTCGTTGCTGCCTTATAATCTGGGGCTCTGAGCTCTAAATCAAAGGGTGGAAGATGTGGGGAAGGCTGCCTGCACAAAGAAAGACTCTCATCCATTCTGCATTAGTGTTTTCCTTGCAAACCTCAGCCTGCAGGGGAAGGCAGCTCTCGTTTGGGACTCACACGTGGATAGTTGATGTCTCTCAGGCTGCAAGCACTTCTATTTTTGAGCATTGAAAGCTTTATAAAGCCTGGTACACAGTGTGTAGATATTTCTAGATAAGCTTTTACTGAGGTGAGTGGGTTCTTGACCATTCAGCTTAAGCAGGGTGAGCTGAGAGCCACCTAAAGCTGGCCCTGTTTGCCTTGGCCAAGCCCCATCTCCTAGCACCATTTACCAAGAGGTGGAGACTTCCACTTGCTCCTGAGTGACTTTGACTTTCACCTCCTGGATGCTCTGCGGTTTCCTCCTGGAGCCCCAGCTCTGCCTCTCCCAAATTTCAGGACAAGAGGAGCTGAGATAAAAGGAAGAAATGGGAGGTGTGGAAATTCTTTCCGCTTCTTTTCATAGGTTGTGCTGGGTCACACTTCTGAGCTTGGGAATGAGCTTGCAGAAGAGCCGTGCTCCAGGAGCTGTGCCTTTAAGAAAGCCACGACATTTCACGAGAGTTGGCCGCACTCAAACATCGTCTCTGGGGATTGGAAAACCCCCGTTCAGGCCATATTATAAACAGCATTCAGACCTATTTACCTTCTGTTTCCTGTGCAACCCAACGCCTGCCAGTTTCCCTGTCAATGGCAGAGCTCCCCCAGCCTCATCCAGGTGCCTCGCTCCCCTGTTCCCATCGAGTTTACCCTCGGTTTTGGTGCTCTGGTGGTGTTGAATGGCTCTGGAGCAGCGGTGTGTAGGTGGGGGCCAGTTTTAGGAACCTTTGAACAGGATCCTCCAAATATTACCTCTCGTTTGGATTTAAAAATGTTAAAAGGAATTGCTGGGAGCAGTCATCCTCACGTGGAAATGTGTTGGTGGAAGCTGTTCTGCCCCGGTGCCTGCTGTGTGATGTCTGATGGCAAATCCTTTAAAACACACCCCGGGATCTGTGGTGGCGAGGGCCATTTGGAGGCTGCTGGAAGCTGTGATAATAATAATAACACATGTGGGTGAGGTGGGAGCTGGGGAGTTTGACTGATGGAGCTCGGGCTGCGGTCGACGGCGTGAGCTGCCGCGCGCTGCCATTTATCCCAGCGCCGCGAGCTTGTTTGGGGGTGGACCTGAACTCTTTTTTTTCCTTCCTCTTGGCTGCAGATCGTGCTGTCGGCCTTCAAGCACGGCCTCTTCAGCGGGCAGTGGCTGCAGCGAGTCAGCTACACGCGCTGGGAGGGCATTTTCCGCTGCATCCCCATCTTCGGCATGTCCTTCGCCTGCCAGTCGTAAGTACCCGCCGGCCCCGCTTCTGGCACTTGTGGCTTTTCCTGAGGGCAGAGGGTCACGAGGCTCTGCGAGGGAGAGATACCAGCTGGTTTTCTATTTTGTTTGAATCCAAATACTTTACAGCCCACTGAAGGACAGCGTTCTCGATGGGTTGTGACCCTTTTGTTACCTGGCTGAGGCAGGGAGTTGTATTTCACCTGGGAGTTGTTGTGTTTGAGCAACACCACCAGATCGTTTGGGCCGAGCAGATCCTCAGTGCTTCTGGGACAGCTGCAGAAGTGATGATTTCCCCCCCCGTTTTCCTGAAGGGAATGGTTTAACACCAGGAAAGGCAGCGGGGCTGTGTTGCCCGATGGCTGCAGGGCAGTGTTATGGTCCCTGCTTCCCCAAATTTCTTTGTGAATGCTCCGAAGATCGCTCCACCGTTGATTTTGGAGGGTTGCTCATGTGTTTCCAGCTACCTGCACTTAACAAGCGTTTCTGCTGGCATGCGAAAGGGCCATTTTCACCTTTCTAGCAGCATCACCTTCTGCACCAGAATGGCAAGCGAGCAACGTGCGCCTGGCCAGAACAGCACCAGACTGTAAACAGCCGTGTAAATCCGAGTGTGGACGTGGAAAAGACCAGCCCCGTTCGGAAGGCTGGCAGAGTCGGGCTTTCCCCCCTGCAGTTGTAGCGAACGGGTGGCGTGCCAACAGCAAATGAATGTGACAGATAAAATTTGCTCAGGCTGCTGTGTTTACACCCACACGCAAGATCCAAATCGTCCTTTCCCACTGATGGGCTCTCTCGGCAGCTCGATTCCTACCCCAGCGCGCTCTGCTCTTGCTGTTTAATGTCTCCATTACCACTGGCGAAGGGAGCCGTATTCTTGTACAGCTTTACCTTGTTAACATTTTAGGGTTTTTAAATTCCAATTTAGTTTTTTCTTACGTAGCCACACAGTACCCAGCACAATTTTGCTGAGAGCTGGAAACGCAGGGAAAGACTTTGGTCTGGACCAGTGTGCGTGTACCTAAACACGGGCTCCACCACAGCTCTTGCGTGGGAAACCGAACCTAAAGCCATGCGTTTTAGCTGTCCCGAGCCTGGGCAGTCTTTATAACCACGTTGTTGTCAGCTGGGTTTAATTTTGCTAACCTCTGAGTTGCCTTTTTTCAAAAATACAATGTAAGAGAATAGAAAGTAATATAATACTATATTATA